GTGCTCCTGGTGTGAGTAGGACTGTGAGATTCCTGTCCTCTCTGTAGAAGACAGCTAATACCAAGAAACTGTGTTGAACCGCAATTTTTTGTTTTTAGGAAACGTTGTAAGTTTTGCAGCATTCTTAGATATTCAATTTTCCCATCAAGAATTACCAGCTTCTCTCTCTCTCTACCATCGGATGTGGAATAGGCACTAAGTGAACTTTTCAATTTGGAAAAAAAAAATATGAGGAAGGGGAGGTTTCCATTAGTACAGAGTCATTATTAACTTGGGTTAATGAAGATCTAATGTAATATGGCCATCACTACATGTCTGCGCATAATGAGTCAATCTTTTTCTATGGGGGAATGATTAAATTAAGTATCTTGTAGGTCAAAATTAGACTGAGAARGTTAACCAACCTTTAATGATTCTGCAACCATTTACCAGCCATTACAAAACATAAATTGTGAGATAAAGCTCAATGGAGAACCACTGCTATCAGTGAAAACTAGATGAAGATTTAGCATTTCTGTTTATATCTCAGGAGCAGATAGAAAGGATTGTGTATTTTATAACAGTATGCGGTTATAAAGGCCAGAGCGAAAGGTTTCTTGTCTTTCCTTGCTTTAATTTGGATTCATGATAATTGCCCATTAGCTCCTTCTTTTAACATGCATTAAATATAACTAATGGATATCAAAGCGACTTAAAATATGGCAATTATAAAGCAAAAGTTAACAAAGAGCTTGGGAGCGCAGCGGAGCTGAGGTGTTGTTTGTAGGCCATGAAATCCTGGTTTCATTGGGAGATGAGGCTGCAGAGACGTGAGAGCAGCGAGTGCAGGCTGCGAGCAGCCTTTGGTGTGCTCTGGTGCCATCTGAGCTCCAAAGAATCACCCGGTTCTCGGGTTCCAGAGTGATTTGGGGGAAAATTTTCTCTGTGACTCTGTATTTGTTTGCTCACGTGTAGATAGGGCAGCTGTCTTCCATCTTGGTTGGCGGGGAAGATGTGGGGTTTTTTTTAACTCACTATAACTCACATAAACTGTGACTTCAGATCCAGTAAGATACAGTGAATCCAAGCAGATTGCTATTTTCCACTCTTCTACMAGAAAACACAGTTATTTTATAATTGATCAAGAATCAAAATCCTCATATACAAATAAATATGATTCCCTGTGCTTACTTTTCCCCAGGTTCTTTCGGTGATTTTTTTCCTTGCCAATCCTGTAGAAAACCTGACTAATCCGGTAGGAATATTTTGCAGCAGGGATGCATTCAAGCATCTCGCTCGTATGTCTTGACCATCGTTAGTTTGAAACAAAAATGTTGCGTTTGACAAAATAACATATAGTCTTTGGAAAATAACATGGAATGCATTGTCAAGTTCATGCTCTTGCTGTCTTGTCTTTTATTGATAGATCTGCTTTGTTGTGCCATACATTAATTTTAACACAGGTGATATATGAATTTGGCACATTAGTTAATGAAAAGCTAATGCACAGTAATCTTGTCATCACTAGCTGTGCATGATAATTCAATCTGTTTCTTGGAAGAGCTGTTCAGCGTGCAACAAATTTGATTTAGCATTGACATGATGTACTAGGTTAGGTGTTTTATTTAACGTACCATGTGCTTGATTTGATGAGGAGTGCTTTCCTTTCAACAGGTTATCTACCTGAGTTAGTAGGCCAGATTTGTGATTTAATGCAGTTACATCAAAGACCCCTTCTGGATGGCATATTTGTTATATGATGCACTGCGTAGACTTGGTCAAATTCTTGACTTTCAGTGCTTCACACATTCATTATGGTTAATATTTAGATTTCCCCTGGATCTATACACATCTTTCAAGTGAGTCTGGGTGGTCTGTACAGTGTTGCCTCCTTTTTTCTTATACCCTAACAAAACCAGATGCACTTCTCAAGTGCATGAGAGCTGTACACTCCGCCACTGTAAATGTGCCTAATTTGTGTAGTAATGGAGCAAGAGATAAGGATGTGTTTTCTTTATTTTAACATGAAATATTTGGAAAGGAATCCTCATACATAGGAGATAGATACCTGGTGTTATTTACCTTAATAATAGGTAAGTCATCACTGATTGACTTAGTGCAGTGGGGGACTTTCTGTAGTACCCAGAAGATGCTGGATGCAGCAGATCCACATTGCTCTGCTTAAATATTCTGCTGCCTGGATATATGTGTTTATACCAACCACTGCAGCACACAGGCATCTGGCAGGATCTGCGCTTTGCTTAAAGACAGCCTAAATCTGTGTAAAGTGACTGGACCATGCACGGTTAGTCCGGCCAACCCCGCAGCGTGGTCCTCAGGGACTCGCAGCACGGGTAAGAGCACGTCCAGTACGGCTGTTATTCCTGGTTCAACACTGTGGGCTGGGAATCGTGCAAGTGAAGGAGCAGGGATGCACATAGCGATTCTTCCCAGCTGCCTTCCAGATTGCGGAGGGGAAGAAATAATCTGCAACTGGCTCAGAGCAGGCTGCGGTCGGGCCCTGGCCCCGGGGAGCAGTGGGAGCCATGGAAAGAAGCCACTTCTTAAATGGCACAGCGTGCTGCAGAGCGCCAYGGCTGCTCACGTCCCTTTGCAGGGGACACTCTGTTAAGTTACTCGCTAGTAACTAGTGGTGCAATCCCCAAACCTCTCTCTCTCTGCTCTGAAGTTGGGTTTCATAATCAGAATTGTAGGCATTAGAGACAGACAGGGAGGAGTTGCCACTTGAGATGCAGCAGCCTGATGCCGAGGTCACAACTTGAGAGACATTTGGCCAATCCCATCTTCCCTCAGGTCAAAGTCCTTATTCCTAGAGTGGCTGTCCTCATTCCAGCAGTCAGAATGCTCCGCTGCAGAGAGCCAGCCGGAGCAGCAGGGAAGCACTGGGAAGATCCCATGTACACCGTGTGCCCTGGGCACTCTAAGCTCAGCCTTACCCGCCACCCCTGCAGCCCCTTCCCAAGCTGGGAAGCAGCTGGTTTCATTTGGAAAGGTCCTGGAAAGTCCTGCATGGGTGGGGACCTGTGAGGTGCTGCAGAAGGGGCTTGTCCTCCTTCCCATGTTGTATCCGGCAACATCCAGAGTTCATCAGTGGAGGCTGGGACACCTGGCAAGTCTGCGTGGAGCCGTCCGCGCTTTTGTAAGGAGCTGGTTTTTCTCCCATCTGAACTTAGTCCCACTCACTTTGCTTTCAGAGCTGTTCCTTGGACTAAAACTGAATCATGAAATACCACCTGGTATTTGGAGTATGTCCTAAGACTGCACATACCCTAAAATAGATTCTGTTTTCCTCTTCCACTTCTGTTTCCATTAGCCCCAGGTTTTGACATTCTGTTCAGAGATATTTTCAGTAAAGAATGCATTAAGATAACATAAATTCCAAATCAAGCATCTCCTCATTCAGCATATTTCCTATTTAATTTTCTCCTGTACATTTCTCCTGTACTTATCTGAGGGATGGCTTCTTTATTTGTATCGGTCGTCCTGTGATAACTGGTTTTGCACAAAAGGAATGCTGCAGGAGAAAGGAAAAACCTTGCACAACCTTGTTTCAATTCAGTGTTCCTTCTCTCTGCTGAAGTTTATTGATTGGAAAAATGTTGAAGTTGTTGAATAGTTTGTTTTCGTTTTGCAAATGTGAATCAGGATTATTGCAGAAAGATAGGAATGCATTCATCATTAGAATTTGCCTTACACATTCATTTATTTTTTAATCTATAATTCTTATTGAACTAAGGAGACTCTGAGAACAAAAAGAGGCTGATTGAGCCAGATAAGAGGAGTTGAGCAAAGATTTTTCCACAATGCAAAAAAGACAAATTTATGAGGCCATTTCTTGAGAATGCTGAAAAATGTCGCTTTCCTGAAGTCGGGGGAGATGCTGGTGAGGTTGCCTACGTGCCAGCGTTCTCCTTGGGATGCTTCAGTCTCCTCCAGCCGGCTCATGAGTCCCCTCATCCTCTCCAGAGCTCCCCAAGGGGCCAGACACAGGCAGCACCTTCCAGCCTTGCCTTGGTGCTCATGAGCTGTGTTGGTCATCAAGGCAAGGCCGTGCCAGCTTTCACTGCCTCTCCTTGCTGCCAACTCCTCCTTTTTGAGTCTCATCTCATTAGCTGTAGACACTCTTGCAAATGGCTTTTTGTAAGCAGTGTGTGTCTGCCCTTCTAGCCCTTCTTTCCTCCCAGTATAACAAGTGCAAAGCTGGGCCCAGCGAGCTCTGGGGGTCACAGGACCACGCAGCTGCAGGAGTCCATCCAATCAAGGAACATCTTTCGCCTCATAATGATAATTTCCCACTTTAGCAAAACACCCTGCTGCCAAACTCCAGTGATAATGAGCCTGTCAGCGCATCAATGCACTCCCAACAGTATCTAGAAAGTAGAGATCTTTTTTATTATTTTTTTTTGCAAGGCAAATGAAGACCCTGATGATTAGGAAGAAACAAACCAATGATTCAATACATTGCTGGCCACACATACCAAATCATTGATTTTCTGTCCTGCTGGGCAGCAGCTGTTCCATTTGCTCGGCAGGAATGTTTTTTTCTCCACGAGGAGCTGAGGGGTGGACGTCTCTACAAGACCCGGAGGCAGCAGATTGCTCGCTGCACTGGGCACGGGCTTGTTGATGGGGCCCTTCTGAAGCCACTGAGAACTCGGAAGGGCTTCTCGCTATTAAGTTCTGCAAATACCATTGGATGCCTTTAAATGCAAGGACTGGTAGATGGGAAGAGAATCGCCTGTGAGAATTTTCATGAAATTGCGCTAAAACTTACTGTCCCTGAAAGAATTAGAAGTTAACTGCAGATATGCACATATTATTTGTCTATATACCAGTTCCGTGTAACCAGTATCCTTATGATTTGTTGCTGTTTTCATAATCCTCGCCCTGTCCCCCTGGCATCAAGGGGACATTGAGCTCACGATGTTGCATGGCCTCGAGTCCGTGTGCTGCCATCCGCAGTGCCCTCTTGCTCATATTTTGCCTTCTCTTGCTCCAAGGAACCTATGTGATGACGGTGACAGCGAACGACGCAGACGACAGTACCACGGCCAATGGGATGGTGAGGTACCGAATAGTGACTCAGACCCCGCAAAGCCCCTCGCAGAATATGTTCACCATTAACAGCGAGACTGGAGACATTGTCACGGTGGCCGCAGGACTGGACAGAGAGGTGAGTCTGAAACACAGAATGCAGTTTCCAGTTGCTAGTTCCTAGCCTGTGATGGCCAAATTCTGTCTCAATACAAACCCTCCCCAAGCCTGAGTTATAAGGAACATTCGTGGTCTTTGCTGCTCCAATCGAGTGCAGATTTTTTGCCCCAATTCTCATCAATCAGTGAATCTCTGGGAGAATCTCCTCACTTGTGGTGCTGATACTTTCCTGGTGTAAATTTATACAATTTGAAGTACTTGAAAATACCTCAGAAGGCAGGGAAGGAGGTCGTGGATTTGTATTATTTTCAGAGACATCAATTGGGAACAAGGTGGGATGCAGGTTTTAATCAAATCAGAAGCAAAAAACAGCAGGCAGTATATATAGGGGAAGAGATAGGGCAGAATCATAATCTTTTTTCATATATTTCTCATTGTGAAATAATTTTAAAACTCGTAGGGAAACCATATACGTCATGTTAGTTCCATTGTTGCATCTGGAATCAAGGCAAGTTAGCACTTCATATAGAGGAACATGATGTTGGCTGTCACAGAGCTTGGGGACAACCACCTGGGCAAGGGACAAGGAACAGGTGGATTGAGGCCAAGCAACCAACTCTGGACATAATCAGAGTGTGGCTGCCCTGAGMCTGCAGGACATGACTATTCCCAGAGCTTTCCGGAGCTTTTCAGGCTTGCATCTGGATTTGGAAAAAAGTTTCTGTTTTATTAATATAGAATTATACTAGGTAGGTCTAAACTGAAAATGTGTTTAAGCACTTGTGTAACTGTACCACAGATTGGCTTTTTGTTTTTATTTGTTTTTCCTGAAATCTGGAAGAAGCTTTTGAGGAGTAAATTTGGTTTTGCTCCTGACATTTCCTTTTTGTTAGGAAAAGGAGCCGAAGAGCAGGATTTGGAATGCAGATTTGTGTAAATTAAAATGTTAACAAATCTGACCTCTTCAGCTGAAACTACTACAACCAAGATAAATTCCCTGCAGACAAGTTATTCCTCCAAATGCTTATTGACACACTTATCAGGGCCTGTGACACCGTTAAGCTAAATCGCRTTGAACCAGAACCAGGTTTTCATTTCGAGTTGGAGTTTTCCACCTTGCTGCAGTGCTGGACAGGTGCCTCAAAGCGGGTGTGAAAGGATCTGTCAAAGCTTTYCTGTAGCAGAGACAGGTCCATATTCCTGAGCCAGCATTTGTYTTAGAGGGGAGGAAAGGCAGTTGAGAATGGGCCGGTTTTAGTTCAGCTTTGCTGTTTTATTTGCCCTTAGCATGGCTTCCCCATGACCTCAGCATCTCCACTTAACTTTTGGTTTCTTACCTTATGCCCAATTCATGGAGCATCCAATAAACTGGACGAAGCTTTCCAGCTTAGCTGTGTCATGAGAGCTGTTTCAGTTAACTTGCAGGAAACCTATTCTGAGACAAATTTGTGTAGTTTATTGCTGTTCCYAAACCCTCATTTCCATAAACCAAGGAGGAAATTAAAAACAGCCTCTAAAATGGTGCTGGTTTTTCTAAATGTGCCTGACATTGAAGACAGCAAAATGAAAAGCCAAGGTATTAAAATATTGATGGCTTTAAAGTTATCTTACCTGGTTCCCATTAATCTGGATGTAAATATGGTTACAATGCGCTCTGTCCATTCACTCATTACAACAGCGCTTAATTGAATGGATCCCCAAGGAAGATAAAGATAATTGGACTGCACTTCATAAAAATTATTAAAGGAGGACAGTTTAGCAACAGTCTGATTTAAGCTCCTGCCTACATAAGGCTGAAAAATGCCAAGGGTGGAACAAAGGAACATCTATCCCTTGAGCTAATAGGGAAAAATGATAGGGATTTAGCCCATGCTGGAGTTTCAAAGGTGTGTTCAAACAGCAGGCTGAGATGAAAAGGTTAAAAGTAGATACTTSCTCTAGAACAGGGAAATGGGGGGGRAAATGCAGGGAATTTGTAGTTSAATTAATAAAACCAGGAGGAAGAAAAACAGATAGTGGCTGAAGCAGAAAATGTATGGATTGATAAGGATGACTGTGAACGGGAGGAGGACAGATTATAATGAAGTTCTGGGGAGGAAAACCATGCTAATTTATCTAATTTATGGCAGACTGCTGCAGAAATGGGTGGTGTTACTAAGAACCACTGGCCAACTGCTAGTCRTGATGCCCGCTGAATTTAGCAGTATATCCACATTCCAGATTGTTCTTTCTTTCTGCCTGGGARTGAATATCAGAGGTGAAAAACGGGTCAATTGTCCCCAGCTGGGGCTATTAAACAGGCCGAACTTCTGTATTTCTGTTCCTCATTCTAAAAAGCATCATTTCTCCTTGTCACCATGCAGAAGTGACCAGAAATGTCCTGCTTGTTGGGTCATTTTGTCCCAACYCTCTGTGTGGAGGCAACCAGGGAGCTCTTGGTGCAGGGATTCGATGCGATCGGCTGCTTTGATTTCTGCAGTGGCAGCGTGTCTGTCTCAGCAGCAGGAAACCTGCACGGGGGCTATCACATAGGCAAGATCTTCCTCTGAAGAGCTTCCACTAAATATTTTATGAACAAGGACTTTGAGCAAGGAAGAAGGGGAGGGAAAAAAAAAAAAGGGAAAGAAATGAGAGGGAAGGAAGTCGTTGATTCCACACACTGCAGGCCAATAAGTGTCGAGACATCTCAAATGTCGTCCAGGCTTATTTAAGATAATAAGTATTTTGCCTGTGCAGGGTTTGCAGTGTGATGTTGCTGACTTTTGAGCACTCCTTTAGAAAGGAGGCCCTAGCCARCGCGTTCATCTCATGTTAAAACAGATAAATAAGTAAATGAAGCAAGTCAGGAACTCTCGAGTTGTTTCTTCCGAATTTCTGTGGGTTTGTGTTTCTTTTAGAAGGGATTGGAGGGCAGCTGCTGCAAATGCTTTTAAAAATACATGAAATCCAATTCTGTGATTACTACATTCGCCTTTCTGAAAACGTGATGTAGCTCGTTTTTCTCAAGTGAAGGGAAGATAAAAGGCAGTGCTTGCCAACAACCAAGTTAGTGGCTTATTTTATTTATGAATGAAATGGCAGAGTTTTAGTGGGGAAGTGCAGAAGTTCTTCTCTGTGGCGGGGACAAGTCTCTCTTTTCCAGCACTGTAGTTTTGCTGCAAGTGTTTTGTTTCTGAGAGTGCAGGATTTTCAAGTGTTCTGTTAAGAAAAAACTGCAGTATTCTGTTCTCCCAGAAAGTATGATTTATTTGTGCCATCAGTAATAACTATTTTGAGTGCATTTCTCTCTTGGTAACTACAGGTGTCAGTTGGAAACCTCCTAATTCCTTCATTTCCAAATGTTGGGGCTGGCTGAGAGTAAGGCAGGCATTACACTGGTGACGGCTGRGAATTAATTTAACTATTGCTCCTGCTATGATTTGTCCTTCCCGAATAGTCACATGGATGCCAATACACTAGTCTGAGAATACACAAACCCAGTGTATTCAGTCTGAGATGTTTTTAATATTTTTTTTTTTCCCCAAGCAGGTAGCACACTTTAAGTATAGCAGTCAGATGACGTASACCTAGCCTTGCTTTTGCACCAGGACATTTTCCTCCGAGAGGACAGTCCAGCGGCCTCCAGTCCTTTTTTTACGCCCCTGCAACGTAACAAAAGGAATTTATTCTGTTCTGAATTATGRTTCCCTATGTTAATTATTTCCCCTTGACTGCGTATCAATGCGAAGCGCCGCGGAGCTGCGGAGCGGGCTGCAGCAGCAGCTGTTGCGATGGGACTCTGAAGGATCCTGACATGATACRAGTGATAGATGAGTGAATCTGCGCCGATTATCAGTCGTGTATGTGTGCTGACAAAATACAAAGGATGAGCGAAAGTGACATCTAAATGGCTTGACTGCATCATAAGAATTTCTGTTCCCCATTTTCCTCGCTCAAATTAGCCATCTCCAGGGAGCAGCGAGGACTAACGCAGAATTGGTACGAGTATGTCACCTTCTGACAGGCACAGTCTTGCATGCACAGCGTTWGCTGTTTGTATTTATTAAGGAGTTCTGTAGATTGAGAGGGATTTGAGGTTTTAGGGTCTCTCTTATTTTCTGAAGAACTGAAACAAGGTTATTTGGTGCTGCTGAGCACCAGCACCGTGTGTGTAAAGACAGAGTTCTAGTGTCGCTGCATTAAAACATATGCAGAAAGATGCTTCCCAGGCCAWCCTCATGGGAGGAGGAAGAGAGTGGGGGATTTGTCATTATTTTGCAGCAAGGCACATGCGTTTCTGTGAATTTGGACCACAAGCCTCTGTGTTCAGCTTCTAGACTCAGGCTCCCAAGGTATTTTTCTAAGATTGAGATGATTAACTACTGGAACAGGCTTCCAAGGATAAGTGGATTTTCCACTTCTCTCGGTCTTCAAATAATGCTTGGAAGCCTGTTTGCAGCACGTCTTGTAGTCAGACATAATTTATTCCCCTAACAGGGGCAAGCAGGTAAGATGCTACCGCGTGTCCTGTGCCGCAGATCAGGCCGTGTGTTTTGCTCATCCCTTCCAGTTTTAGCATTTGCAGAAGAATTTTGCTTTGRTGCTATGGAGTTGTCCATGGCACAGCAGCCTGCCCGCGTTGGCTGCCGGGCTGCTGTCCTCCATCCCAGAGATTTGTGGAGCACGGAGTTGTTCTGGGGGATCAAAGCCACTCCATAAATGCCATTTGTCACTGGATAGAGTATTAGTCCTGATACCTTATAATTTTTTCAGGTCCATATAACAGAAATGTAAATACTGAAGCTTTATATATTAATATGCCTAAAATCATTACTTAAGGCTAAAACTGGTTAAATTATTCAGTTATAAAATTATCCCATTTCCACAGCAGCCTTTCCTGTCAAAAAAAAAAAAGAGCTGATTAGCCATAAGCTGAATGTAACCAGTAGATTTATGCTTGATTCTGGTTTATGTTTCCACATTGTACGTAGAACTCATCTGAGCTTGCTCCATCATTCCAGCATGCATTTCATTTTCTCA